TACTTCATCACTGTCATGTTGCTACTGTTATGAATCGTCATGTAAATATCTGATATGCAGGATGGTCTTAGGCGACCCCTGTGAAAGGGTCGTTCAACCCCCAAAGGGGTCGCTACCCACAGGTTGAGAACCATTGTCCTAGAAGTATGAAAATCAGGCTGTTTATCACCAATGGAAGTTGAATTCAACTCTTATTCCTACAAGCTTCTTCTACTAACTGGTCTCCTGAAACCCTGTGTTCATTTTTCTGGGATATCCTTAGCAGATTCCAAAGGGGTTCATAACTCAGAAAGGATTAAGAGCTACTATCCATAGGGTTAGAAGTTTTATCTTTGGGAGCCATACCTGCATCTGGCTGTCAATACCAGGGGGGCGAGGAAGAGGAGAGTGGGGGTAAGTATTGGGTGGGGAGAGTTGAAGGAATTGAGCAAAAAAGGAAAAACTCATGGACACAGACAACAGTTTGGTGACTGTGGGGAGTGGGGAAGGGATGGAGGAAGTAGGGGAGGGCGTGGGAGTGGGGTAAATGTTGTTGGACGGACACTTGACTTGGAGTGGTGAACACATAATATAGTGTACAGATGGTGTGTTGCAGAATTGTGTACCTGAAACCTGTATGACTTTGTTAACCAGTGCCACCCCAATAAATTCAATAAAAAGAAAATGAAAAGTAAATTATAGTACAGTAAAAAAAAAAAGACACTGCAATTAGGACTGTAAAAACTTTATTGTACTTTGAATAACAAGCATGCAACAAAACTTAAAACATAATAAAGATAAAATATCTCAAATTATGTTCCTTACAAAAGCATTAAGTACAGTACCCAAAGACTACTCATAATATTTTAAAGTCTACTAAAAACATCAAGACATACTAGGAACTGTGGAGTTTCCTTTCAACCACAGGATTTATTCCCATTACCTTTGCTACAATGAACGTTAACATATATGAACGTACACATATAAGTGCAATGGAACATGAAGGCATACAACAAACATTCCAATTACCCAGCAAGTATGAAGAAGAAAGTCTTTTTACTATTTCTGAACTTCTGCACGCTTTGAATATATTGACCAGGTACAATGGCACTTAAAAAATTTGCAAGTGAAATAAGAAACACATTAATCTTATTCACATGTAATACTCAGGATGTTGAGCAACCAGCAGTCCATTGCCCCATCCAATCAGCACAGACACTGGAGTAAATGACCGGTACGGCAATCAGGTCGGTCCCAGCTGAATATCAGCCCTGATCTTATTTCCAATCACCAGAAACATGTTTTTTTCTAATGAAGAAGCATGCGTTACGAGATATGAAGCATGAAATTCACACAGACATGAAATGGAACTCAAATACCCTGCTGCATGGAGGCTGCGTGTGAAATATTTCACAGTGACTGACATGCACTGGCTAACAGGCAATGGTGGTTTTTATATTCAACTTTGATGAAAACAAATGGACTTACAAGAAACCCTTGAGATGTGGTTAAAGTTACTAATCTAAAGGCTCCAAATTACTGAGGATCCTTTAAGATCAGTATATGTGACCTTTTATATATATTTCCTTAAGGAAAAATAATAATAAAAACACCGAGGTACTTTAGTTTCTTTTCAAGGGATTACTGTTGTTATCTTCCTGAGATGCGTAAGACCACAGAAGAAAAGCACCATGCCTAGGTCGCTGAATGAGGCATTAGACCTTAATAGTTTGGTCCTTTTCTAAATGGATCTCTTCCGACTATTACACTAAAACATAGTGATGGATCGCAGATGCCAGGGGGACCTGGTTGCCCTTGGACGCCAGGTTTTCCATGATCTCCATCTTTGCCAGGGAGACCGGGGTCTCCTGGGGGACCTTCTTTGCTTATTCCAGGAGGGCCCTCTGGACCTAAGATGGGACATTAGCAGCATATGAACAGAGGATTTTGATTTTTCATGGTGATATAGCTCATCTTGTACAATATTTAAACTGAAAAAATTTCCTTGAAAATTGTACATATTTGCACTAATGTGAAAAGAGGTATAACTTTGTTAATTCTACATACCTCCCACTTTAAAAAGGACCATACAAAAGTAATCAGTAATTTTTGTAAAACTAAGCCAAGCTATATTAATATAACAATCATGCTACTAATGAAGACACTTGCACTAACATTCTAATATCTCAATTTGTGGGCTGTCCAAACTTACTAAATTATTTGATCCACCCAAAGCCTTAGGAGGTAATAACATCATCTAAAACAATAATAATACACATTCATTGAAACCATAACTATGATTGTCATGTTCTGTTCCGCAAGCACTACATGCATTAACTCATTTAATCTTCCAGTAATGTCATGATGCAGATGACATGTCATCACCATTTTACAAATGAGGAAACTGAGGCATGGCAATATTAAATAACACAGAGGGTGAATTAAGAGTTTTAGTTTTAAATTATTTGACATAGGTTTGTGAAGATTTTCTTAAAGCAAAGTATGCAGCAACACTTATGAACATATACCAGTTCTTACCTGGTGGACCCGGAGGCCCTTGGTCTCCAGGGTACCCAAACCCTTGGTTCCCCTTTGCCCCATTTCTTCCTGGGAGGCCTGCAGTGTCAAAGATTGGAATAAGCTAATTTTTCCTATAAAATCACTGCCTCCTAGATTGTTTCTTTCCAAGCTCTTGATGCACAAATGGAAAGAAAAAATGCATATTTTAAAAATAGTTTGCTACCTATTTATTATTACTAACCAGAAGCAGAATTTTTGGAGCAAAAATTCCTGAAACTATCAGTGGTCCAGCAATATTTAATAAGGGTTAAATATTAAAAAGGAAAATGATTTGGGATCATTTCTGTTAATCATACTTGTTCTCTTATTATTTTAATGAAACATCTATATTGTTCATATGATATTAAATTAGAAGAATTAGCAAGCAACATTTCACATAAACATTCAAAGACAAAGAGAAGTTGTGGATTATTAGGAAGTTTGGTTGCAAAACATAATTTTTTTATAATAGAAAAATTGAATAATCTTTGATAACAGAAATTACCAAAGTCGAAATAAAAGAAATGGCACCTTTGATTTTCTACTTAAAGATCTTATTAGATTCAAGTAAAATTTCTAAGTGCATTGTCAACATTTTCTAATGTGTTACTCTGCATGCTTCCTAACTCTGACTATCTATCTATACTTGGAAATGTTGCTTCAAGAAAATAGAATAAGCTTTCTTCCACTCAGTTGACAAATTACTGAAAGACTAAGGGATTAACATAATTTTGTGGTCACCATGAAAGCAAAGATGAATTATTTTCTACTACATGAATTTAGGGTATGGATACAAAAATAAAGTACCTTTCTTGTTCACTTGCTTATACACATAAGTACCTTTTACTCCTCTGGCACCTGGGCGTCCAGGAGCACCCATTAGTCCAGGAACACCATCTCTTCCTGGCAAACCAGGAAATCCTCGGGGACCTTCTGGGCCTATAGGACCAGGTGGCCCAGGGACACCAGGGGAACCATGTTGGGACTGGCAACGATCACAATTTTGAATTCTTCCACTCTGAAGTAAGACTGGTAGCTGGGCTTAAAAACAAAGAACCCCACCCCCTTACGCTTAAATATGAGTGGTAATTAACAATATCTCTAATAATTTTTTTAAAAATTTACAGATATCTCTTGTCCAATAATTTCACTTCTAGAAATTTATGTAATTACTCATTGCTCTGTGCAACTTTATTGTATAATTTGCTTAAAATTGGGGGGGGGAAGAGTGAAAGTGTCCTGAAGAAAAATTTGATAAATTATACACATCCATCTTTATAAATTGTCATAATCATGTCAGAAATTGTATTAATGGTGAAATAATAAAAAATGCTTTATTAAAATATTACAAAAGGGTGTATATAGTATTTTATCTTCATTATAAAAATACTCATCTAGAATAAAAACAGACAAGGGTTTATAAATGTTCTTTATTCCTTCTTTATCCTACTTATATCTTTTATAATTTCTACAAAGAATCGCTTTCACTTTTGTAATTTGAAAACAGTTATTAAAAACTCTGTTTGAGACTTACCTCTTAATACATCAGTGCAAATTTGTCGAATAAACTGTTCTGAAAATTCTCTCCCCTGCATCAAATTATTAGGGGTTATAACATGTATATACCAGGTAAAAAGCAATGAAAACTCTGAAAGAAAATAGGATACATACAGGCTTCCCATCCACTCCTGGAGGTCCCCGGGGACCTGTTTCTCCAGGTTGTCCCTGGGGACCCACAGGCCCCATCAGGCCATCCATCCCAGATTCTCCTTTTGGTCCAGTGGCACCTCTGACACCAGGTTCTCCCTTTTCACCTTTCTAAAAGCAAAAGAAATCCTCAAGAGTTCTATTTAAGTATTTTAGGAAGTATAACTGCATCTTGAAAATCCTCAAGGATATGGATATAAATATAAAACATATATATGTTATATAGGAAGACACTGTTAATGATCAGGAGGGAAATTTTATATCACATTCAACAGCCGTTTATCCATCCATTCCCCCATCTACTATTTCTTCAGTTTATTATGCAGGCAATAAATAGTGCCAGAGATACAATGAATGTGACACGGTCCTATTTTTCAAGGAGTTTAAATTCTAGCGAGACAGACAAATACAAAAACACAAAATATTATTCATTGAAAAATATGCAGCAAAAATCTAGCACCCAGTCTAAAAGAAGAACCAATAATATTGAAAAATACGTAACATTTCATACCTAACTGAATGAATCTACATATCCTGCAAGTCACTATTTAGGAACCACTGAAGAACATAAAAGACATTTTCTGTTTGCAATACCAATTACTAGATTTATATAGTAGTGAAAATCCAAGCAATAAGAACTGAAGAGGGAGCATAATAGGTGAAGAAACATACCTCTCCTTTTGCACCATGATGACCTTGAATTCCCTTTGAAAATTAACAGGGGAAAAAATGTAATAAATGTGTAAGCTACCGTACCAGCAATGTGGCATGCACCATTTACCACACCAATCAAATTTAATTTGTCATTTGAAAAATATTGATACAATTAGTGCCAGATTTACACAGATAAGAGGTCTCCTTTGCCTTTTTAAAGGAGACTAATGACTAGGCAATATGCTAACTGAATATGTAAAAATGTTCATTTACATAACTGTTTCATTGTTAGATATGAATATTTTATATGCTGCAGGCCAAATATAAGTTTAGAATGAGATTTTATCTGAATTCTACTTAAATTTAAAATAACAATAAATTTTATGCTGAACTTAAAATATATTACTATTTTAATGAAAATTCAAATTCAAATAAGGAAATATAAGGTATATTTATTCTTTTACTTTGCAATTTAGAGTATTACATTTTCCTGTAGATGCTGTTAAAGTTATACTTTATTGCATACTACTGATCAAAAGATAAAATAAAGCAAAGATACCAGTAAAAGTGATTAATAGGGAATAAAATGCCTATTTGTTCTATGCCTAAGCCACTCACCGCTAGTAAATCACTGGATATGAATACATGCAATGGCTATATCGAATTATTTTCCAGTCATCTTTTTCACATATTTATTCCAATGTTATAATATAGATAATAAGAACTTTCAGGGAAGTCATTAAAATTTCCCATTTTTGAAATTCACCATACACTCAAGGCTCTAAGATCACCAATATCAGTTCAAAACAAGGGTATGGTTTTCATAGACACATTATTTTCACAGATTTCATTATTCAACTTTAAAATTAAAAATTGATGTTCTTCAATTGAATATAAAATGTAGTGTAGAACATTCCGCACAATGAATTTTGAGTTTGAGGATTTATTTTTATTCATTTCTCAGTTACCTAAAAATGGATATTCAAATTAGACAAAAGGAAATAAAAATTAGGTAAAATCAGTGTATGGCACAGAGAAAGGTAGATTATCAAATTAAAGTGTAACTTAAAAATATAAAAATCTTAGTGAGTAAACTCTCTCTGCAAGGCCATTCATTAAATAATGAGGATTCTGAAGAAATGCAACAGTATTAGTCCAGACATAATCCTACAAGTGGGTTCAGTGTAAGGGGAAAGATAAAATAGTAAGCTCTCAGGGCTAAAACTGAATTAGAGCTGAAACTGAAAACAGCTGTCATCCGAGAATCCACTAAGATGATTTTATGAGAGAAACATTCACTTGAATTTCATTCATAACAGGAAGGCCAAGCAATTACACATGCATAGCACTTAGTGGAAGGCAGGTAACTCAGACTTAGTTGACTTTTAAAGAGTTTGGGCAGAGTATCCAGCTGCTGAAAAGCAACAAGTGTTCTGGCCTCAAGGGTCCTCCACATAAGCTCAGTTCCTGGGGGTCGGAAATGCAGCTTTCAAAGAAGGGCAGAAGCTGCCTAGGGAATCCAAATCCTACCTTAGGGAGCAGACTTGCTATTTTCCTTGAGAAGCGAGAGAAAAACAAACCAGTGAGCTAGCTATGTGTGAGCTCAAACTCCAAAGGAAGTATCCTTCTGTTTAGAGAGTTATTGTGGGTAACAATTTCTGGGGAAAGGCCTGGGCTAGGGAGGTTGAATGGATGAAGACCCCTTCTCCTCTGGGAAGACTGTTTATAGAGAGTGAAAAGGAATTTTTGAACTGGAACCCGGATTCTTTGTCAACTGGAGTCAAAGAATGAACCCGAGGACATAAGATGGTATGGCAAAGGTGGGAATTTATTAAAGAACAAGTACAGATTCCCACACAAGGAGGGGGAAGAGTCCCACAGAACAGACTACCACATGGGGAGGGGGAAAGGGTCCCATTGAGTTCCTTTTCCCTATGGCTTACAAGGGCTGAAGATCTTGGTGCCTTGATATCCCCTCTGATTGGTCATTACTCCCTTGGCCTGGTTACTATAGTAACTCCTGAGCTCAAAGGTTGAACCTCACTGGGATATGTGAGGTTCTCCCTGCTCCTTCCTTATTGTTTTTCTATTCCCTTTGGGCTTTCTTCTTCTCCTTCTGCATGAAGGGCTTCCTTCCCTTTATTTTGTAGACCTTTTGCTATTTCCAGCTCCCCTATTCTACGGAAATGTACCTGTTGCAGCTTTTCAGCTTCCCTGTTCTATGGAAATACTCATTCACTTTAAGATTTGACATACGAGTAATTTGAGTTACGAGCTCCATCACAGAACGAATTAAACTCGTAAGTCAAGGCCCCACTGTATTTTGTAAATATAGACCTTTTGCTGTTTCCAGCTCCCTCATTCTATGGAAATGTACGTGTTGCTGCTTTTCAGCGTCCCTGTTCTATGGAAATATCCCTTCTGTTGTTCTGCAGCCTGTGCTTCCTCCATGGTCTCTTTAATTTCCAAAATTTCTAAAATTTCCTAGAATCTGTCTTTTCCACCCCCCCCCCCAAAAAAAAATTCCTGTTTCAATAGGTGTGATTAACTTAGGGAAACTGAGGGGGTTGGTCTATGTGGCCAGGGAAGGGAAACAGGGACAGGGTTGGTAATGTTATCAAGTGAATTTGAATCAAGTGGAGGATCACAAAAATTAAGAGACATTTTTCATTAACATTGTGGTACCATGGGAAACTCAATCTATTTCTCTCTTAGATACCTTGGTGCTTATTGTTAGCTTCTAAATTATCACCTCTTCTTAATATCTTGAACTCACCTTCCAGTCCATATTACAGACAACCTTGGGGCCATATGCTTTTAAACACTCTTCCCGAGAACTTTCAGATTTCTCCAAGTGAGGGACACAGAGACCCCTGTCCTTAGAGACAGCACTAGATAGTTTTATCCACATGTCTCCAGAACTGGCGTAACTAGTGAATCTTTCTCCTTCCCACACACAGAAGTGACCACCCTATGAGAGGGCCCCTATATGCAGCTTGCCCTTTAAATGTGGACCAAGTTGGAACTGATCTTAAGTATAGGGCAGTGGTCAGCAAACTCATTCGTCAACAGAGCCAAATGTCAACAGTACAACAACTGAAATTTCTTTTGAGAGCCAAATTTTTTAAACTTAAACT